GGAGGGGTGCCTTTGATGACCTTTTAGACAGTTAGGAAACGGTTGAACAAATTGTACATGAATGTCATGGGATATTATTGCATTGTAAGAAATTATGAAATAAATGATTTCAGAGAACTCTAGGTGGTATGGACTGATGCAGAGTGAAGTGAGGCAGAACCAGGAGATCAATTTATACTTTAAAAGATTTAAGAACTACAATGCCCAATCATGTCTTCAAAGGACCTATGGTATTAAGTATATTACCCATCTCCTGACAGAGAAGTGATAGCCATGAAGTGCTGAAAGAGATGTACATGTTTGGACATGGCCATTGGATAGATCTGTTTTCCTTGATCATATTTATTTTTTACAAGAGTTTTTTTCCTCTTACTCTTGATTAATGGCGGTGGTGGGAAGTGGTGGGGAACAATGTGGGGGGGGCGTTAGTTCTGTGGGGAAAGGGAGAGGGAAGGGTGTGCTGGTAAATGTTTAACAACAAGATTTCTGAGGGGGAAAATGCACACACAATACACTCTGGATTTTAATTTGCATCATTAACATTTTCTCTATTACTTTCTTAAGTCTAGATAATCAACAAAATAATAAATCAGGCCCTAATTTGTAGTATTTGCAGATTTCTGAGGTGTACATGCTCACACCGAAAATCAAAAATTACGTTTTGGAGCTGATTTCAGCTCCCCTAAGGGGAAGTTAGTAATAGTGATGCTACTGTAGGGGGCCGCTGTAATGTGTTTTTAAAAGGCCCAGTGTTCAGAAGGAAATGAAGACAAGGAGAGTTTTGAAAGTAACATGCAGCATTTTTTTCTATGCTTTAAAAAAAGCAAGCTGTGTTAAATGGAGATTCACGGTTTCATAAGGAATCCCCTTTTTTAGGTTCTACTATGTTCTCTTTGAGTGCTTAAGCTTAGAATTTAAAAAAAAAATAAAGAACTTATATGCCTTTTTAAAAGCAAGATACGTGAAATGGAAATTCACTGTTTCATATAAAATCCTATTTTTGTGTTTTGCTGGGTAAATGGAAATGTTAACTTTTTAATATTTGCATTAACCATAAAAATTTTTTCAAAAATAAAACTACAGACCAATATTCCTAATGAGCTGGTTGATACAATTATTTGAAATAAAACATTAGCAAATAGGCTACAACAGCTATATTTAAAAAGATGACATTCTATGACCAGTTTGGATTTAAACCAGAAATGCAATGTTTTGTTCAACATAAAGAAAACCACAAACACAGTAAGTTATATTAAAAACAAAACTAATAAAAACCATCTTATATTAATAGATGCTGATAAAAGACTTTTGATGAAATCCAACACCCAGGTCTGCTAAACACTAGAAAACATAGGAATAAATGAATAACATGGTATAAAGGAATAAATACGGTAAGTACTATCTATCTAAAATCAGGAGCAAACATAATATGCAATGGAGAAGTCAGAGGCTTTTCCAATAAGATCAGGAATGTGGTAAGAATTTCCATCGCCACCACTACTATTCAACATAGCACTGGAAGTGTTAGCTATAACAAGAAGATGAGAAAAACATGGGGAGGGAATAAAGCCAGGCAAAGAGGAAACAAAGCTATCACGTTTTGCAGATGATATGATGTTTTATCTAGAGAAACCTAGAGTCAACAACAATTAAATAAAACAATTAATAAATTCACCAATGTTGCAGGATACAAAACAAATAAATCCTTAACATTTCTGTATATCACCAACAAAACCCAGTAGGAAGAGATAAAGGAGAAATTCCATTCAAAATAGTTACAGAATATAGAAGTATGGGAGAAATATGAAAGTCTATCTACCAAGACAAGCATGGGAACTGTATGAAAACACCCACAAAATCCTCTTTAAAGAAGGATAGACCAAAATAATTGGAGAACTATTCATTGCTCAGAAATGGGTTGTGTCAATATAACAAAATGACAACACTACCTAAATTATTTATTTATTCAGCACCATACAATTCAAACTACCAAAAGATTATTTATAGATAAAATAAATAATGAAATTTATCTGGAAGGACAAAAGGTCAAGAATCTGAAGGGAAATAATGACAAAAAAGTGTGACACAAGGAGTTTTAGCAGTACTAGGTCTTAAACTGGCAATTAGGTGGCTCAGTGGAGCCTGGAATCAGGTTCCTGGCCCTGGAGTCAGGAAGACCTGAGTTCAAATCTGACCTCAAACACTCATTAGCTGTGTGAACCTGGATAAATCACTTCACCTCTCTTTGCCTTAATCCACTAGAAGAGGAAATGGCAAACCACTCAGTTCTCTTTGCCAAGAAAACCCCAAACAAGGTCACAAAGAGTTGGATACTCCTGAAAAACAATAGCAACAAGGTGTTAAACTATACTACAAACAGTAATCATCAAAATGATTTAGTACTGATCATATATATATATATATAATATATATGTTTATATATATCATATATACACATATGAATCAATCAGTGAAACAGAAATAAGCATGGTGGCATATTGTTTGATAAACCCAAAGACCATAGCTGTAGGAATAAGGACTCACCATAGGACAAAAACTGCTGGGGAAACAGGAAAAGCAATCTGATAGAAATCAGGTATAGTATACCAAGATAAACTCCAAATGGATACATGGCTTAGAAATAAAATGTGGCATCATAAGCAAATTAAAGGATCAAAAAAGAAATTACTTCTCAGTTCTAATGGCTAGAAGAACAATTAATGACCAAAAAGAAGAGGGATGGTGAGGACTACAGAAGAAAAAGTGGACAATTTTGATGATGTAAAATTTAAGAGATTTTGAATAAACAAAACAAATGTAGGTAAAAAAACAGGTAACTGGGAGGGATCTTTGCAGCAAGTTTCTCTGAGAAAGGTCTTATATTGAAAATACATAAGGTACCGATTCAAATTTATAAGCACAGAAGCCATTTCCCAATAGACAAATGGTCAAATAATATGAATAAGCAGTTTTGAAAGGAAGAAATTCAAGCTATTAAAAGCCATATAAAAATATTCCAAATCATCAATAATTAGAGAAATATAAATTAAAGCAGCTCTGAGGTTTCATTCCATGCCCATTAGATTGGTAAGGATGATTTTTTTTCAAAAGAAAATAGACATTGTTGGAAGGACTGCAGGAAAACAGGCACATTAATGCACTGTTGATATAGCTGTGAATTGGTCTAGCCCTTTGGGAAAGCAACTCAGAACTATGACCAAAAAGTCACTAAATGGTGTATACCCTTTGATCCAGCAATACCATTATTAGGCTCATGCCACAAAGAGATCAAAGAATGAGAAATAGCAGCCATATGCATAAAATTATTTTGAGCAGCTCTTTTGGTAGCAACAAGAAAACCCTAGAAATATAGGGAGTACCCATAATTTGAGAGATGATTGAACAAATTATGGTATGTAATGATTTATAATTGTGCCATTAGAAATAGTAAAATGGACAGTTTCAAAGACAAATGGGAAGATTTGTACGAACTGACGCAGAGGAACAACATTGTAAAAAGAAACAATTTTGAAAGACTTAAGCATTCTGATCAACATGATGACAAACCAGGATTCCAGAGATTTGATTGTGAAGTATGCTACCTACCTTCCAAAAGAGAAGTGATAGATTCAAGATGCAGAATGAGACATCTAAAAACCTGATTCTGAGAAGGGGTCTAGAGGCTTTACCAGATTCACTGCCAAAGGTAGTATCCATGGCATTCAAAAAGTTGGGAATCCCAGATCTAGGTCAATCACTCATGGTTATTTTTCATTTTTATTAGGGTTCTTTTTTACATCACCTTCATTTCTAGATATTTTTGGCCTCAAAAAATATTTCTCTCTTCAGCTGGGACCCTGTTACCCATGTTTGGGGAAACCAAGACTCGAGCTCAATGCTAAACTCAACCTAGATGTCTCTCTGGAATAATTTCATGTGAGGCCAATATACCAAAGAGACACTGAGCCTCTTGGGTCAGCTCTCAGGACTGGATTCTTTAATGTGAGTGTATATATGTGGGGGGAAGGGGTTGGCACCCTAGGGTTAACACAGACCCTACTTCCATGGAATTCTCTCTCTTTTTTTTTTTTTTGCTTTTTTTGGTGGGGCAATTGGGGTTAAGTGACTTGCCCAGGGTCACACAGCTAGTAAGTGTGAAGTGTCTGAAGTCAAATTTGAACTCAGGTCCTCCTGACTCCAAGGCCAGAGCTCCATCCACTGTGCCACCTAGCCGCCCCTCATGGAATTCTCAATCTGGTAAATGTTCAGTTCAACAAGCATTTGTGTCTTCCACATGCCGGGTCTCTACCTGGTCCTCAGATCTCCTAGCTCTTCTATCCCACCTGGTCCTTGGATACACTCAACTCTATTCCAGGGAATCATAAGCACAGATACCAAGCTCTAACAGCCTATGTCCCAGGTACTAAGGTCCCTCACAGCCCTGATAATCTATGATCTATGGCCTTTTCCAACTCTGACAGTCTATACTTGAAAACTTGGAGATTTAAAGCTAGAAGAAATCTGACAGCTCATCCAGGCCAACTTTCCCTTTTTGCAGAAGAGGAAACTGAGGTCCAGGGGAGTGAAATGTCTTGCTCAAAGTCACATAGGTGGTAGATAACTGAGCCAGGATTCTAACCAGGTCGTCTGGTTCTGTGGAAATCATCACTCTTTCCACTATATACCAGAAAGCCTCCTAGCTCGAATATCCTCTGTTCCAGAGTGCCTCTTCATTGAGGTCACGGCGGAGACACGACATGACCTATGTAGGCCTTGGATGCCTTCCCAAACATTTCCATCGCTCATTCAGTTTCAGCTGGAGGCTCAGAGTGTTTACTCAGAACATGGGTCACGCCCACTTGGAGAGAAGAGGCGGGGACCTGTTTTGGATAGCCCCTCCCAAGTAGGGGGAGAGGACCAATGGTTCTGGGGCTAGGCCTGGACTAGGCCAGGGCGGGGCTGGAGGCTGGAGCTACACGTGGATGAGTCAATCGGATATTTGACTGCTGAAGACTCAAGGCCCTGCCAGTTGAGTGTGTTAAGGGGCAAACTGCGAGCTGGGTGGGGTAGGGGTCTGCCTGCTTCCCTGTCCGGCCGCCCGCCAGCCTTCCTGGCCGCCTGATTGCCGATCCTGCCTGATCCAGCCGCGGCGGCCACCACCTCCTAGACCGGTAGGGAGGGGATAGGCAGGTGTGGTGACTGCCCCTGGAGGGGAGTGGGTGAACGGCTGGAATTACACAGGGACTTTGGGTGTGGGGGTAGGGTGATTCTGGGCAGGCTGCCTTTCTTATACAATGTTCAGGACCTGGAAAGGAGGCTGCTTTCACGAGCGTCTCTCAGCCCCAGCCCCAGCCCCGCCGGGAAGGCTCGGCCTGGATGGGTAGGAAAGTGGAGGCCATTGTCTCGCCCTGCGCTTGGGCAGCTGTGGCCAGAACGAGTTGGCGGGCAGTGGGGGGTGGGGGAAGGGAGGCCCGACTCGATCGCTGCCTTTGTGACCCTAGTCAAGTCATTCTTCCTCGCTGGGCCTCAGTTTCCACCTTTGTAAATGATGGCTCTGGACTAAAGGATCTGCTAAGAGCCTTCTAGTTCAGACCTGCGTTCTAAGCGTACTGAAAGCTCCAGCTTTCTAAGGTTCCTTCCAACTTAAACATTCTGTGTTGGAATGTCCCTTCCAGCTGTGATGTTAGGCGTTTTGACATTCTATGTCCTAACAATCTAGGTCCCAAGGTCCTTTCTCTCCCTGATGTCCGATGTCCGGTGCCCTAATGTTTCAAAGCCCAAGGTCCCTTCTCTCTGTGATGTCTGGGGTCCTGACAATCCAGGGCCCAAGGTCCCTTCCCTCTCTAATGTCCTAACAATCCAGGGCCCAAGGTCCCTTCTCTCTCTGATGTCTGATGACCTGACAATCCAGGGCCAGAGGTCCCTTCCCCCTCTAATGTCCTAACAATCCAGGGCCCAAAGTCCCTCTCTAGGTCTCACATTGAATTTTCTAAGGTCCCTCCCAGCTCTGACATTCTGTGATTCCATGACTGGGAGGCTGCAAAAGCAGTGGGCTTGGGAACATGCCTGGGCGCATCCCGCATCCTTAAGCATCCCAGCCTCTGGGAGGCCTGAGGGGGCGGGGAGAGTTGGAGCTAGAAGGAGGCGGGATGGGGGCGGGGAGACTGGGAGGCCAGAGGCGGGTCTGGGCACTGGGATGGGAAGGGAGGCAGGGGTGGGCCAAGCATCCTCGGCATCCTGAGGGGAAGCTGAGCTTTCTGGCCGCCCACGTGGGCCTCTGGACAAGTCGGGGCTTGTTTGCTGTCTGGGGGCTCTCCACTCGCTGGCTGCCTCTGTCTTTCTCTTGGCTAAGTTTCACTTGTTTTTTCTCTCTCTTTGTCTCTGTCTCTCTGTCTCTGTCTCTGTCTCTCTCTCTGTCTCTATCTGTCTGTCTGTCTGTCTGTCTCTCCCGCCCTCCCTGCAAGGCTGGGCAAGGGCAATGTTTTGATCCTCCCTCATCCCCCTCCCCCTCTTCAGACATTGACCTGGGCCAGGCAGCTGTCAGGCTTTGGAAAGGAGAGCTGCCTGGCCCTGGACAGGTGTTGACCATAGAGTCATCCGAAGTGGGATTGGTTGGCAGAGGGGTGGCATCGCTCTCAAGCTATAATCTTAGGAACAGGATTTAGAGATGGCCGCAACCTTAGCCATCATCCAGCCCAGCCCCCTCATTTTACAGAGGAGGGAACTGAGGCCCAGAGATGTCAAATGACTTTCTCAAGGTCACACAGCCAGTAAGAGTTAGAGCAAGGTCTTCAGACTCCAAAGCTGTTCTCTCTACCAGGCTGTTATTTAAAAGCCTCTTCCTTAAGGTTTCCTGTTCTCATCCACACATCACTTAATGGTACTTTTGGTTCATGACTAGGACTGAATGCTTCAGAACTGAATCTCAGCTCCCCAAATCCCTATGGCTTCCCTTTCTCTGCTTTAGGGAGAATGACCTGTCTCATCTAATCTCTTCCTTTGGGAGCTAAACAGCTACAAATGTATTGGGCCTCTCTTTGAAAAAGAGAACTTTGGGGAAAAAAATAGAAGTCTTTGAAAGGGTCATTAGAACCCCAAGCCATCCAATTGGTAGAAACTCACACAAAGTAGTTATCCCATTTCTTAAGGTGCACCCAAGCCCCTAGTTTCACTTCTTACTACAGCAGTTTACTCTGCCATCCCTAGCCCAGATAAGAAGGAGAGACAGAGAGGGGCAGAGACGGGGAGAAAGAGACAGAGAGAGAGAGAGACAGGCAGACAGACACAGAGAGAGAGGAGAGGAGAGGAGAGACAGAGAAGACAGATCAAGCCAGTCTGGGTAGCACGTAGGGAACTGGACTCCATATACCACCTAGCCAGCTGCCTATAGGGCCAGCTCTGGAGAACTCGCCCTTGACTGGAGGGTGTAAAGAGGAATCAGGGACAACAAAGCTGGTAGGAAAGTTTGGAGCCAGATTCTGGGGGGCCTTAAATACCGGGATCAGGAGTTTGCATCTTAACCTAGAGACAATAGGGAACTACTGTAGAGCTCTGATCAGAGGAGCTTAAGAAAGATTAATAGGTTGGCTTTGTGAAGGATGGACTGGTGAGGAGGAGGGGCAGGAGGACTAGTCTAATAAATATTCTAGGCCAGGGAGTGATGAAGGCTTGCATTTACCAGAGTAGAGGCCTACTCTAAAGTGCTTTCCAGCTATGAATCCTATGATGGGGAGCTCACAGTGTTCCGGAGGTCCAATGAGGCCTGTGATATGTGAGCTGGAGGCCAGAGCTCCGGTGGGAACCCATGGGCTGTCTCTCTCTCTCTCTCTCTCTCTCTCTCTCTCTCTCTCTCTCTCTCTTTATTCCAGGAGTGATATGTCACCCTAGAACTCTTGGGACCTCCAGGGCCCAGGCTCAGTGAAGTTTGCAAGCTAGAGGGAAAAGGTCCAGCTTGGATGACAAGAATGGTGGTCATCCCTCCTCCCAAAAAAAATGAACAGAAATAAAAATGTAAAGCCCAGGACCAAGGCAGTCCAAAAACCATCCCCCCAATTCCAATCCTCTGGAGGAATCCTAGAGTTATTGACTCATAGATGGATTGAAAAAGCCCTTAGAGGTTGTTGAATCCAGACCTTCATTCTATAGACAGGCAAACTGAGCTAGAAGAGTTAGAGGGGGAAGGGGGCTTTGCTCAGGAGTCACCAAGTCACTTAATCATCCCAAACCCCATGTCTCTCAGGACTCAATGTCTGCCCTTTGCTCTCAATGATCAAGGTTCTCATGCTTTTTCACTGAGCTGGTATTCTAGTGTTTTTCTCACCTTAGATGGAGGGTCAGGGTGCTCTATGGCCCTGGAGACAGAACTGGATTCAAATCCTAGCTGTGTGCAGATCGCTCATCTATACAAAGAGGGATTAGGCTCTCATGCTCTCTGCCTCCTGGAAACTGTTGGTTAAATCCACTAGTAGGCCATGTGATTGTGAAAAGAGCATTGAATTTGGAGTCCGATGACCTGGGCTGGAGTCCTGGCTTGGCCTCAGTGACCTTGGCCAATTTGCCTTCTCTGAACTTCAGTATCCTTATCCTCAAAATGGAGATAATGAGACTTGTACCCCTTTCACACTGGCTGGTTAGGAAAAAAATGCTCAGGGGGCAGCTAGGTGGCACAGTAGAGTTCCAGTCTTGTAGTTAGGAGGACCTGAGTTCAAATCTGGCCTCAGACACATGACACTTACTAGCTGTGTGACCCTGGGCAAGTCACTTAACCCCAATTGCCTCACTAAAAAGCAAAAAGAAAAAGAGAGAGAAAGAGAGAGAGAAAATGCTCTATCAATGCACCAAGTGTCCTATTATAATAATAATATCAATAACAACAATAGCTAGCATTTGGTAGCCCTTTAAGGTTTGCAAAGAGACATTATATCTGCATATAGAATATAGATTATGTGTGTATATATGTGTGTGTGTATGGGAGGGGCAGATAAGACAGATCTATTTGATTCTCACAACAACTCTATGAGGCAGGTTTTATTATCCCTGTTTTACAATTGAGGAAACAGGTAAAGTGACTTGCCCAGGTTCTCACAGCTATTATGTGTTTGAGGCAGGATTTGAACTCAGGTCTTCCTGACACCAGGCCCAAGGATCCATCCACTGTGGTGTAGTTGCCTCTTATTACTCGTGTGTTAGAGTATGGTTGCAAAGATGGCCTAGGACTCAGGAAGACCTGAATTCAAATCCCACCAGTGATACCTCCTGGCAGAGTGACCCTGGAGAAGTCACCTAACCTCAGCATCCCAGGCAGCTTGGTAAGACTGTTAATTAAGTTGCAGAGAAGGTAGTGATCTTCATTCCTACTCAGATGAAATCACAAGTCTGATTAAAAAAAAAAAAACACCAGCACAAACTACTCATTAATTATTCCTATCATCTCTGATTGTATCAGAGATCAGAGGAACTTCAGAGGTCATATAGTTAGTCAATAAACATTAAGTGTCCACTATGGGCCAGGGACTGTTAAGCACTGGGGATATGAAGAGGCAAAATACAGTCCCTGCCCTCAATGAACTTACAATCAAATGCGGGGGGGGGGGGAACAACAAGCAAATAAATCTGTACAAACCAGCTCTATACAGGATAAATAGGAAACAGTGAACAGAGGGAAGGAGCTAGAATGAAGAGGGGTTAGGGAAGGCTTCCTGTAGAAAGTGGGGCTTTAATTAGGACTTAAAAGTCCTGACCAGGGAGGTCAGTCGTTGGGAGTAGAGGAGACAGAACATCCGGGCATGGAGGACGGACAGAAAAAATGTGAGGGAAGGGAGGGAAGAAAGACTGAGGCAATGAAGTGAACTGTCCAAGTTCATCCATACGATCCTGGAGCTTATGCTGGAATACCATCTAGTCTGAGCCACTCATTTTACAGATGAGGAAACTGAGACTCAGGGAAGGGAAAGGACTTGTCCAAGGTCACAAATAGTAAGCAACGGAAGTGGGATTCGAACCCAGGTTCTCTTCCACTAGAACCAATACTCTTTCTACTTTGCCAGCTCTGAAGGCAATAGTCCAAAGCTGGGAGTCCATAGCCTCACCTCCTCCACCATGCCCTATCTTATTATAATGAGGCAGGAGAGGGGCAGGAGAAATCCCTGAGCCCTTCCAGCCACTTTTGTCCATCTCTGCTCCCTTTGTGAATATGGGTTCAACAGTCATTTAAAGGGATGATTTCCTCCTTCACAGTGGGCTCAAAGCAGAGTGTTCTTGAAGACACTGCCCTCCCTTTGATCTAGTCGATTTGATTAATGATATCCCTATGTCCCAGTCTAGGAAATTTCACTTTCTCTCACTCCTTCTCAGCAGTTGCCAGACTCAACCCAAATATTTATATTTTTTTTTTTACTTTTTCTCCCACTCTCCTCACAAGCTTATGTTGTTTTTGTCTTTTGAGGTTTCGTGTGTGTGTGTGTGTGTGTGTGTGTGTGTGTGTGTATGTGTAAGTGTAAGGAATTTAAACCATATGGCAAGCATCTGTTTGTGGCTGGGCAGAGAGGGCCAGCTCTTCCTGGCACACTGACTGGTTTTAATAAGGGTCCTCAGCACTCTAGCATCTTTCTGGCACAGACTGCCCTGCTGCTGTGAGAAGCAGATATTGTGTGGTAATTGGGTGAGGGTCCCTCAAGGCTGATATGCCAGGGCACCGATCTTGGAATATTAAACCCAGCTTCCCACGCACACTCAGTTAAAATTCTGCTATCACTTTGGGAACTGGAGGGACTCTGAAACACTCCTGAAGAGCTGGGCCAGACATAGATAATTAACTGTGACTTTCCTTTGGCTCTTCTCTCTCCCCTCTTCTCTGCTTTCTTCTCTCCTTATTTCCTCTCTTTTTAACTTTCTTTTGCACCCCCATATGGGCAAAATGGAAATATAGATTTTTATTGTGACTCCAAATTAACATTCCATGCATAGAAGAGAAAACCCTACTGCCGCATCCCCAGACTTCATTTTGCTCTGCTCTCTGAAGCATTTGCAGCTCTCAACTTTGCCTTTCTTGTGATATTCTGTGTGTGTGTGTGTGTGTGTGTGTGTGTGTGTGTGTGTGTGTGTGTGTGTGTGTGTGTGTGTGTAGCGGGGATGGGGGAGGGGAGGGAAAGTGGGGGAAGGGAAAAAAAGCTCTGGAAACCTGGCTTCTCTCAATAAGTCAACAAGCATTTCAAACCACCTACTATGTGCCAGACTCTGTGGAAGGCTAGATGTTGGGGCTCCAAAGTACATTTCCTGCTTTCTAGGAGTTTACAGTCTCTGGCTGGGGGTGGGGGTAGGGGGCAGAATACAACAAGTTTGTGAATAAGTCAACACAAAGTAATTTCTGGAGGCTAAGAGCAGTAATCACTTGGGAAATCGGAGCCTTCCTTAGGCTGTGCCTCCTGAACTGTGGTTTTCAAAGAGACACAAAGGAGGAGGAGGGAGAGTGTTCCAGACATTGGAGTTGGGGTGGGGGTTGGGGTGTGTCACTTAAACAAAGGCCCAAATTCAGAATATGGAATGTTGTGTGCCGGGACCACTATAGCAGCTCAATGTGACTAAAATCTAGACATATGTGAAGTAGAGTAATAATAACATCAGAGAGCAAAGGTAGGTAGGAGCTGAAAGGGTCTTAGAGGTCGGGTAAAAGTCCATCAGAGGTCATTTTCCAGCCGCCCCACTCCCAGCTTAGCAATAGATCAATGCAAAATTTGACCAACTTTTCTACTTGAAATCTATAACCCTGAAAACGAACAGCCAAAAAAAAGAAAAAAAGATGTTTCATTTTCTTCCTTCTGTTCTCAAGCTTTCAAAGGGCAAAGCAGTCTAAAGTAGATGGATAACTCCCATTTCTCTAGTGCTCTACAATTTGCAAAGCAATTCCTCCTGGCAACCCTGGTGACAGAGAAACTTCAGCATTTTTCTCCCCCACTTTCTAGAGGAAGCTGAGCCTCAGGGAGGTGAAGTGACTGCTCCATAGACACACAGCACCCAGTAGTGGCCTGGAAATTGCACTGGCCTTGAAGAGTGAGTCCCAGTTCTGTCACTTACTATCACTTTATTCCCCTGTCAGTTTCTTCCTAGGGGAAATAAGATGAGTTCTGGGTAGAGCAGGGGTGGGGAACGTCGAGGCCACTTGTGGCCTTTTAGGTCCTTGGGTGTGGCCTTTTGTCTGAGTCCAAGTTTTTTTTTATTTTTTATTTTATTTAAATATTTATTTTATCCTTTTATTAAGGGGATTTGTTCTGTGAAGTTTGGATTCAGTCAAAAGACCACACTTGCGGGCCTAGAGGGTCACAAGTGGCCTCGAGGCCTCAAGCTCCACCAATCCCTCCCACTGCCCCCCCTCCAGGCTAGATGATTTCAAAGCTACCCCTTCCTCTTAGCTCTAAATCTAGGACCCTTAAGGTCAGGATCAAGACTTGTGCCTCTGTCTCAGGCCTCCCAGTCCCTTATTCATTCTACTTCCTCATAAGAATTTAATTCTTTTTCTGATTTGTAGGGTAGCTTAGTTTGGGAAACACCATTCTTGTCAAGCTCTCTCCTTTTATCAAACAGGAAGATGAGACTTGGAGAATTCAAATGACTTGGTCTTTCATACATCTAGGAAACCATTTGTCAAATCCAGATCCCCCGGCAAGAAATTCAGTGCTTTTTCCACTATGCTGTCAATATTGCACCCTGATACAGGCTCGCAATTGCCGCCATGGGTGTGGAGATAGTCTTAATGGGAGAAATGGTTTTGGCCCAGGAAAGGAGAGCAGAACACCCTGTCCAAGTGTCAAAACCAACTTCATGAATTGCATGGGGGATCAGAAGACCAACATCTGAAAGGGACGAAGGCCCTGTGCAGCTCACGAGAGGGATCCTCAGCTGCTGCCCCTCCCCAGACCACTCTTTGCTTTGATTTTGCAAGAAGAGGTACAAGTGCTTTTGGGCTTGAGGGAGGGAAAGAATGAGAGTGGTTGAGGAATTGGGCAATGATGGGCAGGGTGCAGGGCTGCTACCTTGGGTGTTGTTTTCCACACCCGTTTTAATCCTCACCAAGTGCACTGTCCAGGAAAAGCAAATATCTTCCTTTAGGCATGGGGGCTTAATTTAGACCTATCATCCCACCCTCTGCTTGGGATAGACAAAGTGTTTCACCCCCTAGGTATGCAGCAAACTGAGAACAGGCTGGGGCTGGGGGCGGGGGCGGGGGTGTGAGGTGGGGGGGGTGGCCCAAATGACTGCACTGCCACTGCCCAGACCAACAGGACATTTCATGTGGAAAGAAGTTTGGACTTGATATCGTAGGATTTTGAGGAGAGAGGGACCTTAGAAATTGTATGGTCCAAGGATTCCAAACCTGGGGTCCTTGAACTTAAAGACATCTATATATATATATGTATGCACATACACACACATACATACATACAAACACACACACACAGAGGAGAGGAAAAAAGACAGACAGATCTCAGAAGGGGTCTAGAGGTTTGACCAGACTGACTGCCAGAGGAGTCCATGATACCAGGGAAAAGGTTAAAAAAAAACCTGCTCTACTCCAGATGCCCTATTTTATGAAGGAGGAAATTGAGGCCCAGAGAAGGAAAGTGACTTGGCAGAGGTCGCACAGTAATTGACAGAACCAGGATTTGAATCCAGGTCCTCAGCTTCGAAATCCTTACTCTTTGCTATACCTATGCTTACCATCAATAAGCAGTTATTAAGCACCTGACCTGTGCAGAGCGCTGTCCAGGGTGCTAAGATAGAGACAAAGTACAGTGAGATAGGCTCCCTGTCCTCATGGAACTTACAATTGTTAGGAGAATATGACATAATGGAAAGAGAATTTTGACCACAAAACAGTACTGGATTTGTGATGGCACAAAGAGAGCCTTGGACCTTGAGTTCAGAAACCTAGGTTCTAGTCCTATTTCTACCTGTGTGACCTTCAGTGAGTTCCTTCTTTCTGGGCTTGAGTTTCCTCATCTGAGGTCTTTGTTAATCCTTCCAATTTTGGGCATCTCCTGCTCCCAAAATATTTTCTATTTTTTGTTTATATTTTGCAGCTATGTCTGTTTTTCCCCTATTAGTCCCTTTGTGGGAAGGGACTATTTCATTTTTTGCCTTTTTATCTTCAATGCCTGACACATAGTCTACACCTAGTATATGCTTGTTGGATGCAATGGAATTGGATCTATAAAAATGCAGTTTGTATGATGGGGGAAAAAAAAATCACTGGATTTGGAATCTTGGGACTTGGGCTGAGTCTTGACTCTACCAGGGGCCAGAGGGAGTTTCCTCTCTGACAGTGCCGGATACCAGTGAAATCACAAATCCAATCCCCCCAAAAGAAGACTCTATCATCTATCTCTATCATTTCTCTATCATTTTATAAAGAAACTCCTTGGCATTTTGATTGGTGTTGAATTAAACATTAAAGAATTTGAGCAAGGTGTATTATTTTTTTTTCCTGTATTAATTCAGCCCTTCTATGAATGTTGAATGTCCCTCATGTTATTTAGGTCCTACTTCATTTCGGTCTTTCTAGGTTTATAGTTGCCCTTTTTTTTTTTAAACAAGTCCTGTATATTTCTAGGTCAGTTAATTCCCAAGTATTTGATGGGTTTTTGTTGTTGTTGTAAATGGGGGTTTCATTATTATGTTTCCTTGATCTTTATTGCTAGTAAATAAGAATGCTGATGATACTTTGTGGCCTAATCTTGTATCTGGTGACTTTCCTGAATTTTCTTTATTGTCTCCATTATTATTTTTTTTTTGGTCGATACAGTTGTTTTGTCTGTGAAATGCTCCCAACAAAATTATTCTGAGATTTAATAGACTGTCAGAGCTGGAAGGTGTCACCTCCTGAGATCACCTACCTTCCCCCTTTACTGAGGAGCAAAAAGACTACAGAGCCATGGTCCCCCTTTCCACTAGGCCATGCTGCCTACTCCACATGAAGAAACTGAGGCCCAGAGAGATGAGGTTACTTGCCAAAGATCACACAGTTACTTGGCAACAGAGCTAGAATTTAATCCCAGATCACCTGACTCTTATTCCACCGTTCTTTCATGCTGCTTTTTTAAACTCTCTTTTAAGAGAAACCGGGGTTTTACTAAGGGGGGTTGCTCACAAATGTTTAACAATCAGCTCTGCAGGGAGAGAAATCAAAACACTTTTAAGTTTAATCTTCATTGTCAACATTTTCTTTGGCACTTTCTCAAGTCTAGACGATCTGTGAAGTAATCAGCCAAGCCCTAATTTGTAGTGTTTCCCAATTTCTAAGGTATAAATGCTCCCACAGAAAACTTAGCAATCAGCTCTCAGGGAGGATCAGAGCTGGCTTCCACACCCTTGCCCCACCTAATATACTGTTACTCACTTTGGAGCAGGATTTGGTATAAGGTACATCTGACTTGGCTTTCCTCCCAAAAGCTCTGCCATTTAATAATGCTGGCTGACATTTATATACAACTTTACATGTCATCTTTTTTGATCTGCCCAGCAAACTTGTGAGGCACATGCTATTATTATCATCTCCATTTTACAGATGTTATTTAGACTGAGTCTCAGAGAGGTTAAGTGACCTTCCCTGTGTCACACAGCTAATGTGTCAAAGCCAGAATTCCAACCCAGGTCTCCCTGATTCTAAGACCACCACTCTACCCACTATACCAGGTGGTGTCCACTAATTAGTCATATAACTGTGGCAAAGTTGCTTCCCTTCTCTGGCCTCAGTGTCTCCATCTGATGATTTCCAAGGTCTCTCCCAGCTCTGATTTTCTGTGATTAAATATTCTAAAGAGAGCCACAAGTGAAAAATGGCTTGCATGGCCAAATTTCTGAGCAAGATAGTGTGGAAGAGAGCTGTCGGTCTGGAGGGGGATGCCACTCTTGGGGACCATTCTTGGGAAGGGGGAGGAGGAAAGAGAAATAGGGAGATTCATAGCAGGGGTAGCACCAGCATCTGGAGACCATTGCTAATGCTTCTAGGTAGCTTGATTTGTCAACTTGGCTTGGTTTGATTTTCATTTTGTTTTGCATTTTGGGGGGGCTTGAGTCTAGATTGTTATATAGTCTTGGGTGAGGCAGACTTGAGAGGCTTCTGTTCCTAAGGAGGGTTTGTCAGACATTGATTTGGGGAAGTGCTAAACCTAGCCAAGAAGGGGTAGTGGTGCAGGTCACTCCAAGAAAATAGTAGCCCACTAATTGGGCAGTCTATAGGAACCTATAGGCCACTGTAGGCTCAGTGGATAGAGCGTTGGGCCTAGAATCAGGAAGACTTGAGTTCAAATCCAGCTTCAGACACTTACAAGCTGTGTGACCCTGGGCAAGTCACTTCACCTCTGTCTGCCTCAATCTACTGGAAAAGTAAATGGCAGACCACCTGCCAAGAAAACCCCATGGACAGTACTGGTGTGCTATGGTCCATGGGGTCACAAAGAGTTAGACATGACTGAACAGCAGCAACAATAAGGAACCTTATAAATAGTAGTGTATGGTCAGTGCTCAAAGGATCTTAGCTCTTGAACTGGGAGGGCCCTCAGAGGCCATCTAGCACAATCCTTTCATTTTCAAGAGAGGATTTACTAACCAAGGCCCAAAGAAGGCAAGTGACTTGCCCAAGGTCCCACAGCTTGGACCCCCCCAGGGCCTCAGGACATGGGCAATGCAGTATAATGGAAATACAACTGTCTTAGGAATAATAAGACACGAGTATAAGTCCTAGCTCTGCCATTGACTTCGAGTTGTCACTATGGACAAGTCACGTTATACCTTGGAGTTTCAGTTTCCTCCTGTGTAAAATGAGGATAGTATCTCAGAGTGCTGTTAAGAAAACCCACGGTAAATCAGAAAGTGCTTTATGAATCCTACATTGCTAGAGAAAGGTAAGTTGTCATTAAGAAGCTCCTATTTCTATGGCCTGGTCCAGGGATGGGGAACCTGCAGCCTTGAGGCCACGTGTGGCCCTCTAGGTCCTCAAGTGCGGCCCTTTGACTGAGTCCAAGTTTTACAGAACAAACCCCCTTAAGAAAAGGATTTGTTCTGTGAAGTTTGGATTCCAGTTCCAGTTTGGCCACCTTCTTCCTCTATGCCCTGGGTGCAGTTAATGAGCCTCTCTGGACCTCCTCGGATGGTCTGCTTTAGAGATGGAAGAGTTCTTACAAGTCCTTTAGTCACAGGACCATAGATTTCAGTTTAGAAGTGACCTCAAAGGTAATCATCTCTCCAGCCCCCTCACTTTATAGATGAGGAAACAGGGGCCTAGGGTGGGGAGGGGACTTGTTCGAGGTCCCAAAACTAGGAAGCGGCAGAGCTGACAATGCACCCAGGCAGCTCAGCTGCAAGTCCAGGGCTCTGTCCAATATCTGCTGCTGGAACTGCTTCCTTGGTTGCCCCTAGTGTGAAACAAGGATGTTGGACTAGAAAGGCCCTTCCAGCTGGAATACCCGATGATCTGGATGACCTTGATGAGTCCTTCCAAGTCCACAATCCTCTAAGAAATCAAACTAGATCAAGTGTCAACCCTCCCAAAGGCTAGGAGTCACCACCCTGGAGATTTCAAATACCACTGTCCAGAGCTCACCCCAAGGACACTGTTGGTGGGCCACTTCTGGAAGCCTATTTCTATTTCTGTAGATAGGAGAAGGATATAGGGGTACTGTCCAGACCAGTAGGCTGGCTCTAAGCCTCTGGCACTGAATCCTATTTGTCACGAGTGAGGTTTGCAAAATACTTAATTAATCTCTTTCTCTCCCTCTCTCCTCTTTTTCCCTCCCTCTTTCTCCTTCCTCCTACCTCTCCTCTCTTCTTCATCGTCCTCCTCTTCTTATACCTCCTGTTTATGTGTCTCTTTCTCCCTCTCCTCTTCCTCCTCTTGCTCTCCCCCTCTCCCCTTCCCTTCCATTTTCTCTCTCCTTACTTCCTCTACTTCAGTGGGGGGATGAAGAAAATGGCTCCACTGAGCCTCAGGTTAGGTGGAGGGGCGACCAGTTGAGTTTAAGAGAAGTTAATAACTTTATACAAGAGGTGAATGTCTCTAGGCTCTTGAAAGTGAACTATCGACAGAGCACAGTAGAGCATATGTGTAAGCCCATCTCACAGAGCGACTAAGGCTAGTGGATTTCTTTAGCTCAGGAGTTCTAAGCTTCAATGGGCTAAGGCAATCGTGTGTCTGTACTAAGTCTGGCATAAGTATGGTGAGTCCTCAGGAACAGGAGATGCCACCATGTTGCCTAAGGAGAAGCAAATGAGTCCAGGGCAGGTGAATGATCAGAGTGGGACTGGAGCAATGAGTAGTCCCTGCACCAGCTTGGGTGAGATGGGGAGAGGAAAAAGGGGAGAGAGAGGAAGGAAGGAAGGTCTGTCCAGTGGTTCATGCTGGGTTTAAATACTATCTTTGCCACTTACTATTTATATGACTCTTGACAAGTTGCTACATTTCTTTAGGCCTCAGTTTCTTCATCTGTAAAATGAGAGATTTGGACCAGTTAACCTTGGGGGTCTCTTTCAGCTCTAAATCTATGGACCTATGAGAGCAGTGGGGAGAAGATTTTTCCTTTCCAGGAATACCACTAGGGATAGCTTTATCATGTGGGTTTTATTGGGGGTTATATTCTTTGCACTCAGTCCCTTCCTCTGAATGTAGGGTCAAACTTGAGAATAATTGGAATTGTTCTGTTTGTCTAGTAATTTTGAGTTTCCCAAGGGCTCTTCTCACACCAGCCTTGTGAATCAGAAAGTGTTCATCTGATCAGCTCCATTTTACAGATGAGAAAACTGAGATTCTAACGAGGGAGAGGACTTGCCCATGGTCACATAGATTAAATAGATCTTCTGATTTCAAGTCCAGCGTTTTTTGTTTTTTTGGTTTTTTTTTTTGTAATTATACCATATTGTATTGGGGGACAAAATTAAGAGCCATTCTTATTTCTAGAACAATTTGCAGTTTAAATAACATTTTTTGCTGGAAATATCTTTAGGAGGCAGGGAGTAAAAGCATAATCATGGCCATCTTACAGAGAAGAAGACTGAGGTTCAGGAAATTTAAGTGGTTTTCTCACAACCATGAGACAGTAGTGATGGTATGGGGATTTTAAACCAAGTCACCCAATGTCAGATCCAGTGTTCTTACCATCATGGTGTGCTGGTATTCCCCATTCCCAAACGCATACAGACCCCCTTAAAAAAGAAACTAGTTTATTGCCCTTGGTGTGGGCTCTGAAAGAGCCTGTCCAAATAATCCTACTTCTCTATTTCCTAAGCCCTCTAAACACCTTGAGTCTCCTATCTGGGCTCCTCTCACCAAATCCTGAGAAGAGCAATAGATTGGAGCAAGTATTTGTGCAGATGAGGAAAATGGGGGTGGGAGTAGGTTATTAGATTTGTCCCCAGCCCCCGTGAGCTAGGGCTGAGTCTCAGATGGCCCCACTCCCTCCCCTGACATTACCCCCCACAGCTCTCTTGGCAGTACACCAGGCTATTTCTGCACCTCACTTGTTGCCAAGAGTATAGTCCCTAATTCTGGGTGGCATTTGACAGAGAAGGAAGCTGCCCCACAGCTAGTTAAATAGAAGCAAGCCTGGACCTCAAACCCAAGGCCAGTGTTCTTCCCTCTGCACTGTGAGCAGCCACGTCTCTCCTTGTTCCCATCTCAGACCTTCCCTTGGTGTCCACTCCCAGCTTCCCCACTCCTCAATCAGCAGCATGGAGTGCCAAGAGAATCAGTACCGGGACCAGTGGGGACACTGTGTTACTTGCCAACAGTGCGGCCCTGGCCAGGAGCTCTCCAAGGTAAGAGCAGCTGGAGCATCTTTTTTTTTTTTCTGCCCTGAAAACAGTGTGGGGGGTAGGGGGAAGTTGAAGGAGTACAAAGCCAAACAGTGGCTAAATCAGGCAACCCCGACCCAGAAGGTTGAACATATCCCCATGGTCCTATGGGTAATGTCTTTTTGGGAAGGAGGCTTCTAGAAATTGTCTGTTGGGCTAAGTGATAGTGGCTGACTAGAGGGAGGGAACTTCCCAGTTGTTTTCTTTCCTGACCCTAGGAAGGTAACTCTTCCTCTCTGGGGTCTGGGACAAATACCCAAAGGATATCAGAGAGGGTCCAGTCTGGCCCAGCACTGAGAATTGTCTCTGGTTAGTGACCATGCCATGAGCCTTCTCCTGAGACAACTTTTAGAACTAGAAAGATTCATAGAGATTCTAGAGTCTAGAATCTAGACCAAGTTGAATTTACTAGAGGACAAATTCCACCCCCCCAAGGTCAGAAAGCTAGTGAGTGGCAGAGCCAAACTACTCCAAGAGATCTCAGAGGGCACCTAGTCACCAGCTATCCTAGCAGGAATGCCCTCCATGAAAGCAGGATCCTAGCATTTAGAGCTGGAAGGAACCTTAGGAGATGATCGAGTCCGACTCATTTTATAAATGAGGAAACTGAGGCTCAGCAAGGTGAATGACTTGTTCAAGGTCACAGAGGTGGTAACTGGCAGAGCCAGGATCTGATCCTCAACACCTCCAGCGATGAGGGCTTTGGGAAACTGTGAGACACACAATGATGGGAACCTTCCAAAACCCTCCTTTCTACTTTGGGACAGATATGATTATTAGAAATGGCGCTTTTTTCTAATTTATTTATATTGAGTGAAAATTTGGTTCTTTGCATTGTCTCTCCATCATTCTTGGTCTTGCCTGCCCATTTCTATATGAGAGTAAAGACCTGGAGTCAAGAAGACCTAGGTTAAAATACCACCTCACACACTAATGAACTATATGTATGACCCTGGGCAGGTGACTTAACCTCTCTCTGCCTTAATTTTTTCAACTGTAAAATGAGATGGCTGGGCTATATGGCCTCTGGGGTCCCTTCCAGTCCTAAATTTATGATAGTGATCCTAGTCCCCAGTAAGTCTTCTCTCAGCGAAAAACCCCCTACCCACCCACCCCCATTTCCTCCAACTGCATCTGGTTCTGGCCTGATTTTCCTCCTAGACACCCACATGATCTGTCTGAACTTGTCAACATCCTTCATCAAAAGGAATGCTTATTACTGACCACAGCAATCCAGATGGGGTCTGAGCCTAGCAGTGTATAGAGGCACTGACCTGTCATCTCCCTAGGGTGGGGAGCTGCCCCTTTCTGAATACAACCTAAGATGGCACCATCTTTTTGGTCTGCCGTGTTCTACTGTCATTTCATAGCTCCACTACACTGTTGCCATCGTGTACTAGCCTCTCCCCCATCACCACCACATCCCCCGCTTCTGCCTCCCTAGGTGCTATTTCCAGGAGGCACTACCACATCCCGTACCAAAGCAAAGTGGTTACATGGCTTGTCCATCTCATCTCGATAGGTATGGAATAGGGGACAAATAGTAATTCTGGAGTGAAAGCCTTGCTAATTCCCAACTATGTGACCATTTTGGAAATCTTTAAGAGGGGGTTCAGTTAGATGAGCTTCTAGCTCCCCAGGGAGAATATATGCCTGCAATCTATGTCCTGTGTCCCTTTCCTGTCAGGAATGCGGCTATGGGGAAGGAGGAGATGCATTCTGCACCCCTTGTCCCCCCCGAAGATATAAGAGTGGCTGGGGCCACCATAGCTGCCAAGCCTGTCTAACCTGTGCCGTCATCAACCGAGTTCAGAAAGTCAACTGCACTGCCACTTCCAATGGAGTCTGTGGAGACTGTCTCCCCAGGTGAGTCAATTCCCCAGCTTCATGGCAACGGGAAGGAAACTAAGCACTCCCATTTCCAGAGGATTTTTATGCCTTTTAAAATGCTTTCATGTAGTTAACCTTGCTCAAGCAACAACTTAATGACTTCCTGAGATGATGGCCCTCTGCTCGCAGTGGTACCATTGGAAAATCGCTTTCCCACTGCAGATCTCAGCCTTCTCATCTGTACACTTCTCCACTTTAGGCAAATGCCTTCTGAAGTATCTTCAGAATTGATCATTAATCTATAAACCCATGACCTTGGGTTCAGAAACTGGCTCAAGTGTTTATTGATTGTGCGACCTTGGGCAAATCTCTTGGCCTCTGGGAGTCTTAGTTTCCTTGTATTTAAAATTAGGAGGCTGTCCTAGATGACCCCTGGGATCCCTTCTGCTGTTGACATTCTATGTTCTAGATATACCCTTATATGGACATGTCCCCTCCAAGGCAGCCTGGCTTAGGGGAGAGAGAGCACAGTGCTAAGCTCCCCTCCAGGTGCAAGATAAAGGCTTATGGACTGATCGGATCTCAGATCTAGTCTGTCATTAGCGTTCTATGTTTTATGAAATTTGCATCCCTCACATTTCTTGATTCAGGAATAAAAACACATATTCCTTCCTTCATTCATTCAAAAAACATTTATTAAGTCACTACTGTATTAGTAGCCAGGCGAGATAGAGTTTAGATAAGGCATGCTCTTTGCTTCCGTAAAGTAAGGGGTATGACACAGACACAGATAATGGGGGTACGCAGTATAACATGTTACGGGCCCTCGGGAGGGGCAAAGTACTCTGCAGGGTATTAACAGTATTATTGTCCCCATTTTCTGGATAAGGAGATTGAAGCTCAGCTTGTGGAGGTGACTTTCCCAAGATCAAATCGAGTCAGTGGCAGAACCTGACCTCCAACCCATGCCTTCTGCCTTCTGATATGGTATTCTTTCTGGTACGGCCACTCCATGTGAGAAAAAGGTATGAGCCTGGCCTCCACTGAATGGCCATTGGTACCCACTTATGCAATGGAAGTATTTCATTAGCATCAGTCCAGCTTATGCCCAAGTAGGGGTTGGCTTTCCTCTATGGCTGATCTCCAGTACTTCATCATAGCATCAAGGTGTGACCATGAGTACTTGAAGGTGAGGCCAGATCTTACAAAACTGAAAGGGATGATAAGATCTTAGACCTGGAGCTACAAGCAACCTCAGAAGCCAGCTAGCTAAAAACCAAGGTCTGCCATGGAATCATTGGTTTAGAACTGGAATTGACCTCAGAGGCCAGATAATCTAACTCGTCTTATTTTACAGGGGAGGAAACTGAGGCTTAGGGAGGGGGACTGACTTGCCCAAGGCCACATAGGTAGTAAGTAGAAGAGATCAGATTTGAAGTCAAGTTCTCTGACTCTAGGCTTTAAGGACAGGCCTGGAAATACATCACCTATACATCTTTGGGAAGCTTCCTACCTTCTGCAAGTTCTTCTTTTCCTATTTCCTCACCTACAGGTTCTACTGTAAGACCCGAATCGGTGGCCTTCAGGACCAGGAGTGCATCTCATGCACCAAGCAAACCCCTGTGTCAGAGGTTCAATGTATGTATCTTTTCTACTTCTCTCCTGGGTATAGGCAGAGTTAGCAGGCTGAGGAAGTGGGGTCCCCAAGAGCATGGTAAGGGCTTTTGAGATGGACGTACAGGAGAATATAGAAACATACCCAGGGACCTCAAGCCATAGAAGTCAGAGCCATGAAGAGAGGACTTTAGAGCAGTGTTGTGTAGTGGACAGAGCATGTATCTGGAGTCCAATGATGTGGCTTCAAATCCTACCTCTGGGACATGTCTGCTGAGTCACTTGGGCCCTGAGGCCATAGTCCTCCATGATAAGTAAAGGAAGGGCTTTGGATCAGGTCAAAAAATAACAGAACTGCAGAACGCTAAGGGACTTGAGCATCCATCTAGTACAACCTCTGCCCAAAAGGAATTCCTGTTTTAACATAGCCAACAAGGGGTTGAAAAGGACCTGTGAGGAGACTTTGAGTTCTAGATCCAGACTCCTTTGAACATCAGGACTAGAAGGAACTTTAGAAATCTTTAAGTCTAAAAAACCCATTTTGCAGGTAGTGCCAGAAGGATGATGACTTGCCCATATTATTAGGTCTTGTGATCATATAGTGAACAAATGGAAACTCACCTCCCAAGTCCAGTGCTATTTCCAGTACACCATACTACCCTCTTACTCTACCCCAGTGGGGAGGGAATCTCAACGCAGTGACCTACAGGTAACCAGGATGAAGAGATGCCTTTGGCACTAAGACTTGGGAGAGCCATAAAGGAAGTGGGGTTCTGGCCTGAAGAAGCCCCCTTCATGGCGGGAGTTCTGCTCAGCAAAGATGGGAGCCCACTACTTTGTCCCTTGGCCTCATTCTGATGCTCCTTCCCATCTTGTACCACAGGTGCCTTCAGATTGAGCTCCGTGAAGCTCGAGGTGCCCACAGCGCCCCCTCAGGAAGCTACACTCATGGTGCTAACAAGCAGTGTGCTAATTGTTTTTGCCCTGGCCCTCATATCCTTCGCCATCATCTACTGTAAGCGTTTCATCAAGCGCCAGTTCCGGCATGGTAAGGCATGATGCTGATGTAGCATTTATATGGTGTTTTAAGGTTTACAAAATGTTTTACCTATATTCTCTTATTTGATACATTCTCACAAAAACCCTGGAAGGTAAGTGCTATTATTATCTCCATTTTATAGATGAGGAAACTAAGGTTAAGTGACTTTGCCCATGTTCACACAGCTAGAAAATGTCTGGGGCAGGAATAGAACTCAGGTCTTCCTGTCTCCATGTCCGGATGCTCGATTCACTGCTCCACCTGCTACCTCTTGGGTGGCATGAGTGAGGTCCAATAAAGGAACTCTCTGGGACTTGGAGTCAAGATAGATAGTCAAGATAGTCACAGAGGTAGGCAGGGTGGAAATTGTAATTGACTTAGAATCAGAGGACCTAGGATCAAATCCTGACCTTGCTGCTTCCTACCTGTGTGATCTTGGGCAAGTCATCTTCCTTCCCTGTACCTCAGTTTCCTCCTCTGTAAAATGAGGGGGTTAGAGTGGATGACCACTGAAATCCACCCCCCAGTCGTATCTATGATACTGTGTGTAAAGATCATACTTTAACAAAGAAACCAAATCCTATCTGCATTGGCATTCCTGCTGAAAATGAAACTGGAACATGTAAAGTATAATTTTTAATTAAATGGAAAAACTCATGAGATCTCCTCAAAATGGGGAATAGAAGTTTGCTCTTGTTAGACTCATAATGTACATACAGGCAATAATAAGAAATAGCATTTCATAGGCTACTTGGTCAACTCACTTTGTAATGTTTATGATGAGTGGACATGACCATGCCACCATGAAGAAAATCTTAGCTCATGTACCAAAATTGGATGAAATGGAGAGATTCTTGGAAAAACTTGACAAACCAAGGTCTATATATCAGTGACTTTAATGTGAAGTTGGGCACCCGGGGAGGGTGGTAGAAAATATGGTTAGGATTAAGACATAAAAGATGCCAAAGACTTGTAGAGTGGCCTCAGTGGTCTCAGCCCTGTTGATCATGAATGCTTTCAGAGGAGTATGAGAAGCCCCCAAACAACATCGTGAAAAATGAAATTGACAAACAGAAAACAGCTGGTTACTCATGTGGGAGTCATTTTTAGCATCAGGTGTCTGTGCAATCAGATCATTGACTGGTTAAAGTAAAGGTCAAAACCCAAACCAAATTAGAAGAAAGGATGAACATGAGAAGACACTGTGTACAATTATAGCAGCTCCATCCTGAGGTATTCAAGTAGCTGTTGACCCTGAAACATGAGCAATGGATAAAGAAAAAGAAACTGACATTGACCATCACCACTTGCTACAGAAGTGTAGCAGATATAAAGCAATGCCATAACGAGGAGGCCAAAAGAGCCCAGAAACTACTTTAACCAAGCAGTTGCTCATCTTGCCAAGAAAAGAAATGCTGTAATCAAGGATTTAGAATAAACTCATATAAAAAAAACCATTGTTAAAATAGTATAACCTCATAAAATGGGGGAAAGCAGTAGAAGGGAGTTGGTGTGAGACTTACCTCAACCAAATTACCCCATTAACCTTTGCAGATGGAACTGAAAGGAGAATAACAAATAGATATAATATAGAATAGATTTGCACACATTTGCATAGCAAGCTATTCTCATCATTAATGAGAGTGGAGCCATTATAGAGTAAATTCTACTACTAATTTAGGAATTGATGTACTATTCTAGGAAATGGTACTTAAGAAGATAAAGCTGGGGGGCAGCTAGGTGGCGCAGTGGATAGAGCACCAGCCCTGAAGTCAGGAGGACCTGAATTCAAATCTGGCCTCAGACCAAACATTTGACACTTACTAGCTGTGTGACCCTGGGCAAGTCACTTAACCCCAACTGCCTAAAGAAAAAAAAAAAAGAAGATAAAGCTGGTCACAGATCAGTCAATCAGTCAATAAACATTTGGGGGGAGGCTCTAAGCTAAAAGCTGAGGATACAAATACAAATAAAAAACAAAGACAAACCCTGCCCTCAAGGAGTTTATAAGCTAAAAAGGGAAGACAATACACAAACAGAAGCTATAGACAGGGTGGGAAGGCACCCCGCTGGGGATATCTTGGAGATTTCTGGAGAAGACTCAAAGTTGGTGGGAAATGGGAAGAAAGACCCTGTTGAACCCCTTCCCTAAATAGAGGCCTGAGAGTTTAGCCCTGCCCTGCAACTGAACCTAATTAAATTGTGTCCTTCCTTTTCAAAATATCTCAGTGGAGATAATTCTAAAATGGAAAAAATGGTACTATGCATAGAGATAGTATGGTCAAGAGAAATAAGGATCAGGGGTGTGCTGCATCCAGCACATGCCGAGCTTATTGTTAAATTTTCTGGGTGAGCACCTCAGAAATCAGCAAATGTTCCAAATCAGGGATTGATAAATTGTTTTGTTGACTGTCTAGACTTAAGAAAGTGATGGAGAAAATAACAATAATAATGCAGATTCTTGCATTTTAAGAGAGCCAGATGTTAAACATTTATAAGCATGTTTTTCAACAAGTTTTAGGGGAAAAGCTAATGAGTGTTTGTTTGGTTGTGTTGAGTTGAAGTGTTAGCTGGACAACCAAGTGGAGATATCTGGTTGGTGATTGGAGAGATACAGGTCTGGGGCTCAGAGGAGATGTCTGGGGCTGGAGATTTGGGGGTCATCTGCTTGGAGATGGTAGTTAGAGTGGTGGAAGTGACTAAGATTTCCAGGGAAGAGCACGGAGAGAGAGATGAAGAGAAAGGGAGAGGGGAATAGAGGAGGGGAATCATCAACAGGACCTTGGGGAAAAAAGTAAGGTCTGAAAAAAAAGATGGGAAACCAGAATAGAAGAGAGGTTTGCAAAGCTATTTACAAAGTTTATCTCATTTGATCCTCACAGCTCTGGGAGGTTGTCATTATTATCCCCAGTTTACAGATGTGGAAACTGAGGCAAAGAGGTTAAGTGACTTTGCCTAGGGCCACTCAGGGAGTTTTAGAGGCAGGATTGGAACTCAGCTCTTCCTGACTCTAAAATCCTGCACTCTATCCTTGGCATTACCTAATGGACTTAAAGAGATAGAGATAGACCCAAGAGAACATAGCATCTCTGAGGTTGAAGACTGAGAGGGAGTCTCCATTAAGAGGTAGTCACCATTGTCTCAAAGTTGTTGAGGTCAAGGGAGATGAGGAATGAAACAATGATGGTTGAAATTTGCATCAGGAAATCATTGGTAATCTAGTTAGCATAAGATCTGGGACGCAGTTCAGTTCAAGAAATTCACTGAAACACTAATAGAGCACTTGCCACGTCTGCTCTCTGTCTCTACATACGGCCCCTGGAAAACAACTATTAAGAGCTCGTCTTACAGTTGGCAATGTGCTTTTCCAAATCCCAGCCCCATGTCGTGTAGGCAACGTTACTGTCCCCAGTTTATAGACAATACAAATAGGGCCAAAAGAAATTAAGGGACTTCTCCCTTGCCCATATTCTGACTACCAATCAGTTGAACACAAGAATTGAACCCAAGGCTGCAATCCAAAGTAAACCAAACCAGGAAGACGTGAAATTTTCAGATGTGAAAGCTTTCATTCATTCAACATTTTTCCAGGACCAACTTTAATGCTAGAACTCTACCCCATGCTGGGAAAATGCAAAGAGAAATAAGGCACCGCCCTGGCCCTCAAGGAACTTTAATCTTAAGGTGGAAGATTCTTAAAAGTCAGGTGTAGATCAAGGCAAGACTCACTTGGGAGGAAGACTGCAGGGGTGGGGAACCTGAGGCCTCGAGACCACATGTAGCCCTCTAGGTCCTCAAGGGTGACCTTTTGACTGAGTCCAAGTTGTACAGAACAAAGCCTTTTATTAAGGGGATTTATTCTGTGAAGTTTGGATTTAGTCACAGGGCCTCACTTGAGGACCTAGAGGGCGAGGATTTGTTCTGTGAAGTCTGGATTCAGTCAGAGGGCAGCACTTGAGGACCTAGAGCGGATTTGTTGTATGAAGCCTGGATTCAGTCAGAGGGCCACACTTGAGGACCTAGAGGAGATTTGTTCTGTGAAGTTTGGATTCAGTCAAAGCAGCTTCCACACCCTTAGCCCAGAGAGTCCCTGAAGTTCTTTGCAGCTCTGAGAGTGTGATTAAGAGGTAGTGTGGTGCAATAGAAAGAGTTTGAACTCAGGACCCAGAGGCCCTTAGTTGAAATCCTGACTACCATTTACTAGCTGTATGACTTTGGGCAAGTACCTTCCTGTTCCTGGGCCTCAGTTTCCTCATATGTAAAATGAGGGAGCTGGACTAGTTGGTCTCTGGGGTTCTTTCTTGATCTAGAATTCCCAATCCATTGCTTATGCTATCTCTCAGCTCTCACTACAATGGTTGGCATCTAGTAGGTGCTTAATAAATGCTCATTGATTGATTGCTTGATTCCAGCGATCTTCCCACTTTGCCACTCAGTCTTTCACACCAGTCTCAGTGACATAGTGTCACCTGTGCTAATAGTAATAATGATGACAGCAGCTGGTATTGACATAGCACCTACTATGTGCCAGGCACTGTGTTAAGTGCTTTACAAATCGTATCCCAACTGATCCTCACAACAATCCTGGGAGGTAGGTGCTGTTATTATCTCCATTTTACAGATGGGGAAACCAAGGCAGGCAGAGGTTAAGTAATTTGCCCGAAGTCTCACAGCTAGTAAGTGCTTGAGGCTACATTGAAACCCCAGGTCTTTGTGACTCCAGGCCCAGTGCTCTATCTACGACATCACCAACTGCCTCGACTAGTCTCTGGGTGGTCAGTGCAAGTCATTCTGGGTTACCCAGCAGGAGAGGACCTGTTGAGACAGGCCTCTCAGACTCATCAGGGGTGGCACTGACAGAGCTGCCCAGAGGCTGGAAACAACACCGGACTGGGAGTCAGAAGATCTGGGTTCAAATGCTCACTCTGCTTGCTATCTACGTGTCCTTGGCCTAGTCACTGCTTCTCTTCTGTCCTCAGTTTCTTCATCTCTAAAATAGGACCCAGAGGATTGGGTAAGCTGATCTCTAATGCCCCTTCTGTCCCTATTGTTCACCTTTTAAATTTAAAAAAAAATGATACAGAGTCTGCCTCCTTTGGCTTTGACTCAATCCTGCCAGGCAGCTGATAGTTGGGGAACCTGGGAGAGTAGGGTAAGTTTCACTGGCATCAGTGAACATTTAAGGAGCCTCTACTCTGGGCCTAGTCCAGTACTGGGCCCTATGGACAATCCAGAGATGATAAATCAATCAACCAACAAATATTTATTAAATGCCTACTGTGTATTAGGTACTGGGGATGCAAAACCAAAAGTGAATGTGTCTGTGTTCCCAAGGAACTTAGGTTCATTCAGAAAAGGCCCTGCCTTTGCCCATAAGCAGCTTAATGCAATGGAGGAGGGGGGGGAGCCCTATGCTTGACAAGACAACCAGGAATGCTGGGAGGTGAGTGATTGTATAGCGAAGAATTATGCTGCCACAGAGAACTGGAGGAGAGAACATTGGGGTTCCCTTGTCTCTGGCTCTGCTAACCTAACCTTTGAGTGACTAGAACGCTGGATTGGAAGGCAGCTGTGTGACCTTGGATGATTCTCTCTTTGGGCCTGCTTCCTCATCTGTAAAACTAGAGGGTTGAAGGATTTGGTGAACTCTAAGGTCACTGCCAACTTGACGTCATCCTATCCTGGCCACCTTGGGGCTGAGGATTGCACGTTGACAGGGGGAGCTGGGGCCTTGCCTGCAAGGCAATTGGAGAGGCACGAGGTTGAGCGTTGAAGAGATGGGCAAGGAACCATGTGGCCGATGGAAGGCTAGGTGTGGGAAGCAAGCAAGAGACAGGTGCAAGAGTTCCCCAGGAAAGTGTCACTCATAAGGCTGTACAAGTGAGTCACCAGGGAAAGGATTGAGTTCTCTAGGAGAGCTAAGGACAGGGCACACTTTCATTTTTTCTCCAGCTCAGTCACCGTCTTTCCTTGCAGGGCAGCCAACTGAGTCAAAATAGCCCACTGGTGCCCAGTGGGTCTGGATAGAGGGCCTTGGCTTCCCTATCCAAGCCAGGGTCTGACATTGGTATGTCAGCAAGGTGGGCCCCACTTAGGGCAGTTGAGCACTGGAGACTCAGAGTCATCCTCCATTGGCAGGGTACCCCACTTCTCAAAGCCCCAGCCCAGACTCAGGAAGAATTGAATTCAAATCCAGACTCAGACACTTCCTAGCTATGTGATCTTGGGCAAGTCACTTCATATCTGTTTGCCTCAGCTTACCAATCTGCAAAATGGGGATAATACTAGCACCTACTTCTCAGGTTGTTATAAGGATTAAATAAGATAGTATTTGTCAAATGCTTAGCATAGTGCCCAGCTCACAGTAAGCGCTGTATACTATATACCTACTACGTACAAGGCCCTTTACTAGGCACTGGGCGTACAAAGTCCAAAGCAGAATGTCTCCACCCTTCAGGAGCTTACATTCCAGTTGGAGGAAATGACATCAGTCAATCAAAAGGCATTTATTAAGCACCTAAACTGTGCCAGGCCCTGGGGATACCAAACCCCAAAACTTAGCTCCTAACCTGAAAGAGTTTACTTTCTAAATGGGAGAGACAACATGTAAAACAATTAGAAACACACAAGATATGTTGGGGGAGGGGAGGGGTGAAGGGAATAAGCATTTACTAAGTAGCTGTATTATCTCATTTGATTTTCCCAGCAGCCCTGGGAGGTAGGTGCTGTTATCATCCCCATTTTATAGATAAGGAAACTGAGGCAAACAGAGCGTAAGTAACTTGCTGAGGGTCAGATAGCTAGTAAGTGTCTGAGGATAGATTTGAACTCAGGTTTTCCTGATTCCAGACAAAATGGAAAGGTCCCTCCTCTCAAGGACCTTACATTCTGTGGTATAGGGAATGATAAGAGACTCATATATCAGCATATTAATCAATGTCTCGAGCCATTAGAAAAAACGTCTCTGAAAAGAAAGATGAAGGGATATTGTCTTCCCTGCTATGTAAAGTGGAACTAGCTATTTTTGAATTTGTAATCAGACAGCCTAGAGAGGTGGAATATGGGTCCAAAGGTTCAGGTTCAAAATCCTGGCCAACTTCCTTTTACAGATGAAGAAACTGAGGCCCAACAAGGGGAAATGAGGCACTTCGAGGGCCCATTCGGGTCCCCTGATTTCAAGCTTATATTAACTCATTATTTCCAATACATTGGCCACTAGTACTGGGTACAGGGACCAAACCCAAGGTTTGGCATGAATCAGATGCTGATGCGGTTGCTGACCCAGCTCTCCATCACAGACAATGCTCTGGTCATAATGGATGAGGTAAAGTTGCACTCATTGTAAAGCAGAGGATGAGGTCACAATGCTGACTCAAAGCTTAGCCAATCAGCAGCCACCTAGGCCTTTAAATTCCGGCTGAAAGCAAGTCTGGCTCCAGAGGGCAGCACTGGGCCCAGTGTCCAGGGCTGGGCCCAGCATCCAGGACTGGGCCCAAAGTCTAACTAATAACCTGCCCCTAGAGGCTGGCATCAGGTAGACTGAAGCTTAGGAGTCCTAACACTGAGGGTTTTTGCCCCTACTCTTTGCACAGAGACCACCCCCACTGCCTTTTTATTGTCTTAATATACTTAGACAGAAAGAGGCATGGCTTGGAGAGCTGATAGCATGACCACCAGCAGGTAGGGAGCTAGTTGGGAAGGAAGAGATGAGGGGAGTAGAGGAAGGTTCTCTTGCTTTTGCCTGCCTTCTTCCTCACTCATTACCTTCTTTCCTTCCCCTGCAGGTTTCATTGGGTCTCTAGACTTTCAGGGACAGAGAGAACTATCTCAGGCTTCTGATTATGCAGGCCCGTGTCCCAGCAGGGAGCTGGGCATGAAGAATTTGGGTCCTGTTGTCGAGCAAAATGGAGGTGAGAGTCTCTTGCTCCTGGGTTAATTCTTTGGAGTCCCTTACACAGTGGGGTATCGCCCTACTAAAGCCAAAAGCCAGGCTCAGGCCCCCGGGAAGGGGTATGAGAATTTGAGCCCATATTCATCAGCTCTCTTAAGATGGCCACAAATACCTTCTTTGGTAGGTGGACTGAACCTAACTTTCCCCTTGAGCTAATAACAGTTGGAACTCCTTCTATCTGTCATGCTCACCACACCTCCGGTAGGGCGTGATCAGTGAAAGACTTTGACAAAGTGAAAAAGGAGGGTAAAGGGGATTCCATTGGTGGCAGAAGACCCAGGGTTCAAATTCTCCCAGCTTATGTCCTATCAAGGAGACAAGTTAGTCTCTGTACCTGTAATAGCCCAACCCATCAGGATGGTTTGGTTGTAAGAAAATTATAATGTCCTAGTTGGAATAGGGTGCTGTTGTCTCATATGTGGGAGTAAGCCTTTGACTTCAATATCGGGTGGTTTCGTTTCCAGTCTCCGAGGATTCGGTGCAGTTTGTGGATGATAGCCCAGCATCCAGAACCGAGGGAAATGAGCGTCTTCGTCACCTACACGCCAACCTTGAGCCTTCCCCCGGGCAGCTGACCTGCAATCCCACCGATGCCCAGGTGCTCATCCATACCTGCCCGACTTCTGAGGCCCAACCTGATCCGTTGGGGCACCCCCCGACACTTCCTTCCTGCGCCTCGGAAACACAGTCGTGCTGGGCCCATGCCCCTGTCGAATGTACTGAGCTGGACCTTCACAAATTTTCGAGCTGCAGCCCTTATACCAGTGCAGAAGGGCACAGGGAAGCTGTCATCTGGGCCATGCCAGGGGGCTCCGGAGATAGAATGGGATTCACCCCTTCCTTATACCACTTAGAGGGAAAGTCTCCTGCACCGGATTCTTCCTTTAAGGTAACTACATAAGCCCAGTGTCACAAGAGGGTAGGCATACTGGGAACATGCAGAGAATGATGGGTAAGAGATTCTAAGGGTCTAAACTGGCTTCTTTGCTTCCTCCCTAGGTCTCTTCGGCCAGTGGTGGCCACATGTCCTGGTAAACTGTCAAGCCACATATACTGGACTTCAAGCCCCAGTATTGATGACTTATTCCATATCTGCTCTGCAAGTCTGGGGTGGGGGGGCAACTTGGCTCCCCAGGCTAGTCTCCTCCATTTTCCAAAAACAACTGACAACTATTTGAATGGTCTTTCTTGTGTCTGGGCAAGGGGAAGTGGGTGCCGCCACAAGGCTGCTTGAACGTTTCTTGTACTTTTTTTTAAACTAAGTTCCGCAAAAGAACCTGGAAGTTCAGGGGAGGGTGGTAAAAGGAGGGATTGAGATTTTCACTAACAAGTCCAACCCTGACCACAATCCCTCCCCTCCCCCAGCCTCCCATTTTTTTGAGGTTGGCGAAGGATCTGAATTTAGATGGGTTTGAACATTCACTTGAAAAACCCCTCAGTAGCTCTTGACTGCCAAAACAGTGGGGGGCCCTGGGAAAAAACATATACTTGGCCTTGAGAAGCCCAGGGCCAGATGGTTTCCATGAGCCCAGTTGGTCTCCACTGCCCATCCCCACCAACTCAGGAAGTGCCCATCTTGTGGGCCTCACCTTCTTGACTCTTTCCGGCCGGCTGGCCGAGACTTGTGCTTGCCTGGTGTTATTCCCGGCTACTTCTGGGGTCCCCCATCCACAACTTGGGCCGAAGACAAGTTTTTTTTATCCCCCCTTGGCTGTTGGAAAATGGAAGGCCAGAATCGAGGACTTCAGAAGAGGCACTGGGGGTTGGGGTTGGGGGATCCCTCATGGGGCTCAGGGATCATATTTATGGTGCTTTCCCGAATTCAGAAGACCTCTTCTGCCTCACGTGTCTTGTCAGTTACAAGAAGAACAGCCGTCTCCCCAAGATTGGAGTATCGGCTTGCAAAGGCTGGCCAACCACTGACTTGAACTGTTTTTTCTCCTCTCCCCTTGCGCCCTGTCAGCTCTGACAAGCCTAACAATTATTGAGCACCTTCTTTTACAAGGCCCTGTGACTATTCTGATGGATGGAAATAATGCAGGGACTTAATTTATATAGGAAGCTGCTCAGAAGCTTAATAACCCCTGGAATATTCAGGTTCTGGCCCCCCAGGGATGTTGGGGAAAGGAGCAGGAGTTTGGGGGGACTCCCCCTCCCCTATCCCAGCTGTGCTCCAGAAGCCCCAGGGAGACTGCATAACACGTTACCATCAGAACAGGCCCTGATCCCCAGCAAGCACCCTCTTAACAGAGGCTGGCAACACCACAGGGGCTCCCTTCTTCCTTCTGGTTTGAATTGCTCAATCCCTCTCTGTTTTTAGGGATCTCTGACATGTGGGGTGTGTGTGTGTGTGTGTATGTGTGTGTATTACATGTGTGTGTGGTATATATACATATGTGTGATGTGTTTGTATGGTGTGTGTATGTGTGTAATGTGTGTTTGTGTGTGTATGTGTGGGGGGGTGTTGGAGGAAGAAGAGAGCAACCTGCCCCAGGGGCTGGGAATGAGTGAGTTGTCAAGACTGCATTTTCAAACTTTGTTTCTGGATCCTATAATATTGCCCCCAGACTTCTCCCCTCCTCCGCCCTGGACTTGCCTCCTTCTCTATCTTTGGGGTATTGATGTATATTGAGGCTGGAATTGGGTGTGTGGGGGAGAATAGATAAGTATACCTGACTTGCCCCATAGTTGAAGACATTTCCTGTTTTTGTTTTTGTTAGTCAACATTTGTAGGGAGCCTGAGATGGTCATTTTTCCAGAATTGTAAGGGATAGAGAGATAAGCACACCTGACTTCCCTCCCATAGAGTTGAAGACATTTCATGGTTTTGTTTTTATAATTGAGAAATTTGTAGGGAGCCTCAATATGGTTTTGAGGTTCTCGTTTTTCCAGAATTTCAGGAAGCTTTGAGGGGAATGACGTTGGGGTTGGGGTGGAGCTTGGGTGTAAATTTAGGGACAGCACCAGAGTTGCACTTAACAGCATCAGGCCTGGAACGTGGCCAGGGACTTACCAGCCCCAGCAGATTCTGTCTGCTTAGCTCACCGTGGAAAACTGGGGGGCAAGGTCACAAAAAGGGGCCCAGAGGAGAAAGCTCTGGAGAAATGCCAACAACCCAGTGGCCTTCGGGAAGATTTGAGGACAGTTCTAAAGGGATTTTTGATCAACTTTTTTTTTTAACTTGTTTCTAAGAAGCCTCCTATAGGCTGAGGAGAGGGGCACTAGCTTTGGAAATGATAGGCTACATGCAGTTCCTTCCCTCACTGGGCCTCAGTTTCCCTCTTGATAAAACTGGGGATTTAGAGGACAGGTGGGGGGCCCCTTTCCAGTTCTGAATCCAAGATTTGATTATTTTCCATATTGTTTCTTCATTTAGTCTCCTTTTTTGCATAGCATGATTTTCATTTATTAATCTCATTGGGGGAAAATATTTTTTCCCTTTGTTGTGGGTTTTGGGAGTGGCAGTTCAGACCACATAGTTCTTGATCTTTCAAAGCCTTAGAATTTGTGAATGTGTTTTCAGAGAGGATCGTATCAAGCTATATTTTGCCACATTTTGGTGATGACAAGGCATAAAGGAGCCCTTGTCTCCTTTTCTTTCTCCTTTTCTCCTCCTCCTCTTCCTCCTCCTGGCTAGTTGCCAAGCTGTTGTGCTTTTCTGAGCCCCCTAGGAGCAGCCAACTGGCCAAGAGGTCCAATTTCCCCCAAAGCTTTCAGGTGCTCAAGTCTCTGCTCTCAGAAAGGGGTGGGGTATGTACTGTACTGGATGTTATTGCCAGAGGTGCTCTTGGAAGCTTAGGGGGAAGAGGAAAATATTTCTAATCAAATGTGACTCAGCTCACCTCAGAGCCTTTGCTAGGGCCAAATTAATTCCCCATCAAACTGGTGCTAGGTCATCTAAACTCATCCCCTCCAACCCTCATCCCCATTTGGGGCCAGCTGGAGCATGAGGAAGGTGTGGGGGTGGGGGTGAGACCTTCTACTTTTTTATATAAATACTGTAACTCAGGGCTTTCCAACTGGTTGGTTACTAGGGAATTTTTGCCTCCCTTTGCTGGATCTGTTCAGAGTTTGTTATTCCTGGATCCAAACTACAAGGTTCTATGGAGCCATTGGCTAATATAAAATGTAGGCAACATTTGTGGTCATTGATCACTACCATGAGGTTGCCAGGCAGAACATAGCCATGGACCAAGGATTTCAGGACCAGATTAAATCAATCATTTGGGATAAACAAAGTTAGCCTATAGGTTAGATCCACTGGAGACAGGACAAAGGAGGGGCACCTGAAGAAAGTTTCCAGTACAGCCAACTGCAGGCACTGGGAGCAAGGTCTTTTTAAATTTTTTGTTTCTTTTTTTGCAGGTACTGTATATCCCCCTCATCCATCCCCTTTTCTCTAATAATAGGGGGTATGTTTTCTGTTTGTTTGTATTTTTCCTTCCTAAGTCCCACCCCCTTGTTTTTTTTTTTTCATTTACTGGTAAAGATAATGAGCAACCTTTAGAATCCTGTTGACATGAATGATTATTCCCAAGTCCTTTCATGGAAAGTATAGTTAACCACAGTGCACACTGTGTTAACAAATGGTCAAGGAGTTAAGAGTCCCAGTACTGCTAAATGCTTGGAAGATGGAACACTGTATACGTTGGGGATTAACACAAGCTTGTAATGTATTTCTTCCCTACCTCACAGGGATGTTGTGAGGACTTTAGTTAAAAGTGTGTATAAGCTGAGTGATTATATTATATTATTGTTGTTGTTGTGTTATATATTACATTATGCTTTCTCTGGGATGGTTTTTTATTGGTGATTTATGTCTTTTTGGATATCCCCAAGCGGCTGGCACTGAGGGGTCAACCCCTAGAAGGCTGAAGTTAGTGGCTTTGCTTTAAAATGCCATCCACATTGTCATCAAGTGGGATTTGAACAAAGCTGTAGCTATTTCTACACTTTTGTGATAAGGGTTTGGGGTATTGTGGAAACACTCCAGTGGGGGCTTCTAATAGGTGAGGAGAGCTGCTAGGAGGGGAGGAGAGAAAGAGAAAGAGGAGAAGAAGAGAGGGGGAGAGAAAAGAATAGAGAGAGGGAAGGAGGGAGAGAAGGGGGGATGGAGGGGAGATGGAGAGGAGAAAGAAGAGGAAAAAAGATGAGATAGAGAGGTGAAAAGAGAGAGAAGGAAAAGAGTAGAAGGAGAGGGGTGCAGGAAGAGAGCTAGGGCAAGAGAAAAGGGAGGGCAGAAGTTGTCCTCCATTTGCCAAAACTATCTTCTCTCTGCTTATCTCTCTCCCTACCACCCTCCATGGCTCCTCTACCCCACCCACCCTATACCATGATACCCAAGGACAGTTCTCCCCACCATTTTCTTCTTTGACCCTTCCCAGGTGAAATTCGTGTAAGAAGCAACAATAAGGGCTTTCCTTTTGTTACTATATCACAGTTGGCTTAAGCTAATTAGAGTCAATATTGATATCATCTGGCTCCTGGAGTATATAAATAAGGTAGGGTTTTGTTGTTGCTTATTTTTATGATTTTTCTTGTCATTGTTTTCATTAGTTTTGTAGATATGGAGCTTAGAAGGGTGCTCAGAGACCACATGAGTGGTGAGGCCTAAGATATAGAGGGATGAAGTGATTGGCTGCCCTGATCACACTGGTATGGTGGCAGAGGCATGAAACTGGCCCTAGGCCACTGTAGGGCTCCAGAGCAGGGCCTCTGCCTTTTTTGGGGAAAATTCTGATATGCATGAGGGGCGCTATTAGGGGCAATGCTGCCTGCTGGCTCTGGATTACTTGGAGTTAAAAAATCTAGGTTCAAATCCTGGCTGTGCAATTCATGTGAACTGGGCCTCACTTCCCTTATTGATAAAAAAAAGGCCTCTAAGGGTGTCTTCATGGCTCTAAGTTCTAAAATTCTAATAAATAGCCATTTAGGCTATTTTGTGAAGCAGGGGGCGCAAGCAGGGAACCCCAGTGGGGGATGGAATGTCTGCAACATATTTATTTTGGCAGCATTTCCAGGGAAAATAATTAGAATAGTTTGAGATTTGAAGGCTTGTCCTCAAACCAGAGGTTGTATGGGGTAGAAAAGGAGTTGGGGGAAGGGTTTCAAATCCTCCTACCCATGGTTCTTCCCCCAAAGCTGCCTCATCTTTGGGTTGCTTATTCTCACCTCCTCTAGGGGCTCAGTGACCTCATGAGGGCCTCCCTTACTTTTGGACAAGCCTTGGGATTTTATATTAAATGTAAATGATTTTCTGTTGTAATCAATATTTATGGAGGTTTCTACAGCTCTTTGGCCATCTTGCATGTTTGGCTCCAATATTGTTGGATTTGGTTTTCTGATACTCTCTAAGTAACCTCCTAATTGTCCACGAAATAAAGAAACAAAGCAAGTATATTGGTGCTTTGATGAGTTTCTGGGTCTTCGCATGCCAACTGGGTTACATGAGGGTGGGTAAACTTTGTGTCTCTAGTCTGCTTCTCTATTGCCCACCATGGATCTCTAGAGGGATGTGGGAATTGGGAAAGAGAACTGGGAAATTGACCAGCAAGATCATTAAAATTATTTTCCTGTAAGCTCACTTAGGACATTGAGGAGAGAAAGGTAGAATTGAGAACTTGAATAAAGAAAGGTTGAACCTTTAGAGGGATATCTTATTAGGAAAGACAATAAGAGTTGGGAGAGAAAGGACCTTATATATAATCATGGATACTGAAGCTAAGACCAAGCCAGGCAGGGCTACCCTCAGCACCACTGCCAGGCTGTGCTGAATTCAGTCCACCTCCTTACTCCTGACAAGCACGCAAGCCCTCCTGAGTCTGATGGATGGAGGCATCGAAATTGCTCTTTAAATTGTTGTGCTGGGAGATTCTTGCCTGATTGTTAATGATCCTTTTATATGATCCAGGAACACTTGCATATTTCTGGGCTGATTCAGTATGCTCCTTTCGCCTTGGAATCAGTGTTGGGCTTGGATCTTTGCCCTGGCTCCAGCCATCCAGCCCCCACAGTGGCATTCCATTAAAGGCTTCAGAATAACTTCAGTGGGGAGGTTGGTTGACTATGGTGGGGTCAGCTTGTCCAGGGATAGTGGGGACCCCCAATGCAGTACAGAAAGAGCTTGCATCTGCAGCCGGTGATCACATGTGGGGACCTCGAGTTGACAGGGACTGCAGAGAACACCTAGCCAACAGTTGGAGAGCTCCAAGGCCAAGGTCACACTTAGAAGATCATAGGAGCAGAGCTGGACCTTAGCCCCTAGTTCAGAGGTTAATAAGGATTAGCCTTTTTTATATATCAGACTCCTTTGGGCATGAAGCCTATGCAACATCCATTCTTAGAATCATGTTTTTAAATGCATAAAATAAAAAATGCAAAAACCCTTGAGAGTCCAATCCCCTCG